CAAAACTTAGCACTTCAATCATTTTTAAGTATTCAGTTCAGTGACACTGATTACATCAGCAGTGTTGGGCAACCATAACCACCTCCAAAAGATTTTTGTCACCTGAAACAGAAAGTCAGTATCCGTTAAAAAATAATTTCTCATTCTTACCATCCCCCAACTCCTGGTAACCACTGATCTACTTTCCTCCTTATGTTGTTTTTGTTGTTAGTTGCCATCAAGTCAGTTATGACTCACAGTGACCCTATGTACAACAGAATGAAACCTTGTCCAGTCCTGTGCCATCCTGACCATCATTGCTACATTTCAACCCATTGTTGCAGCCACTGTGTCAATCCATCCTATTGAAGTTCTTCCTGTTTTTCACTGCCCTTCTATTTTATCAAACATGATGCCCTTCTTCAGGGGCTGGTCCCTCCTGATGATATGTCCAAAGGACATGGGATAAAGTATCGCCATGCTCACTTCTAAAGAGCATTCTGGCTGTACTTCTTCCAAGACAGACTAGTTTGTTCTTCTGGCAGTCTGTTGTTATTGTTATATGTCGTCGAGTCAGCCCCGACTCATAGCGACCCCTCCTTGGGTTTCCGAGGCAGTATCACTATGGAAGTAGGATTGCCCAACCTTCCTTCTGAGGAGTGTCTGGTGGGTTTGAACTGCCAGCCTTCTGGTTAGCAGTCAAATGCCTTAGGCACTATGCCACCAGAGCTCCCAGAGTGGCACTAAATAACCAAAATACCTACCCACTTCTTTTCATGTTTCCTATATCATTCATTATTTTGCCTATAGAATCTTCAATAGTTCATGCAACTCAAGCCTTCAATTTCTTCTTCAGTTCTTTCAGCTCAAGAAATGACAAGTGTTTTCTTAATTTTGGTTTCCTAATTTCAGGTCTTTGCACATTTCATTACAAAACTTTGTCATCTCTCGCTGCTCTTTGAAATCTTCTGTTCAACTCATTTGCTTCATCATTTCTTCCATTTGCTTTAGCTACTTTATGTTCTACAGCAAATTTCAGAGTCGCTTATGACATCCATTTTTGTCTTTTCTTTCTTTTTAATGAACTTGCTATCTTTATGTGTGATGTCCTTGATGTCATCCCACAACTCATCTGGTCTCTCTGGTCATTTGTGTTCAATGATTCAAATCTATTCTTCAGATGGTCTCTAAATTCAGGTGGGATATACTGAAGGTCATGCTTTGGTTCTCGTGGACTTGTTTAATTTTCTTCACCTTCAACTTAAAGTTGCATGTATATGAGCAATTGATGATCTGTTCCACAGTCAGCCCGGCCTTGTTCTGATTGATGATATCGAGCTTATCCATCATATCTGCCCACAAACGTAGTCAGTTTGATTCCTGTGTATACCATCTGGCAAGGTCTATGTGTCTAGTCACCATTTATTTTGTTTTAAAAAAAAAAAAAAAAGTGTTTGCAATGAATAGTTCTTAATCTTAATCTTGCAAATTCTATCATGTGATCTCCAGTGTTTTTATCACCAAGTCCATATTTTCCAACTACTCATCCTTCTTCTTTGTTTCAAACTTTTGCATTCCAATAAGCAGTAATTATCAATGCATCTCCATTGCATGTTTGATCAATTTTAGACTGCAGAAGTTGGTAGAAATCTTCAATTTCTTTATTTTTAGTGGTAGATGCTTAAATTTGTGTAATAGTCGTATTAACTGGTCCTCCTTGTAAGTGTGTAGATATTATCCTGTCACTCACTTGTGGTATTTTCTGTTAGAGCGGCACTAGATAACCAAAATACCTTCCCTCTTCTTTTGATGCTTCCTGCATCATTCAATATTTTGCCTATAGAATCCTTCAGTAGTTCATGCAACTCAAGGCTTTAATATCTTTTTCAGGTCTTTCAACTCGAGAAATGCTGAGTGTTTTCTTCCCTTTTGGTTTCTTAATTTCAGTTCTTTGAGACTCTGGCACTGTACTTCAGGATGGATCTTGAAAGGCTCTTTTTGATGATGAATGTGATGCCATTCCTCTTCAATTTGTCATTTCTAGTAGAGTAGACCATCTGATTGTCTGATTCAAAATGGCCAATCTCATTCCATTTCAGCTCACTAATGCATAGGATATCAATCTTTATGAATTCCATTTAATTATGATAACTTCCAATTTTCCTAGATTCATACTTCATACATTCCACATTCCAATCATTAATGGATGTTTGCAGCTGTTTTTTTTTTTTTTTTTTTTCTCATTTTGATGCATGCCCCATTAGCAGATGATGGTCGCGAAATCTTTACTCCATCCACTCGGTAAGTCTACTCTGCTTTGAGGAGGCTGCTGTTCTCCAGTCATATTTGGAGTGCCTTCTAAACTGAGGGACTCATCTTCTAGTGGTACTATGTCAGACAACGTTCTGCTGTTATTTAGTTTTCACTGACCAGATTTTTGGAAGTAGACCACCACATCCTTCTTCCTAGTCTAGAAGCTCCACTGAAACCAGTCCACCATGAGTGACCCTGCTGATACTTAAAATACCGGTAGCACAGTATCGCAGCAACACACAAGCCACAACAATACAACAAACTGACAGAAAAGTGGTAGAAGATTCATCTATATCACAGCATGTATCAGATTTTCACTTCTCCCTAAGCCTGAAGAACATTACCTCATATGCATAGTAGTTCTTGGTGAGGGAGAACTTCTTCCAGTTTGCTATTCGTTTTCTATGTGTCATACCTTTTTTTGTCCTTAATTTCTTTCCATACTGTTTTCTTTTGTAGTGAAACATTTTGATTCTTAATTCCTTTTGTGTAAATTTTTAATATATTTTCATTACTGGTATTTATATATAGACCTGTGCTCATGTTGTTCATGCTATTTTATTCACTTTCTGTAATAATATTGTCCCTATTTCTGCATAAACATTATAATTATACTTTCTGTCAATGATTGAATAATAATAATAAGAGAGGGAATATTAAAGTGAGCAGCAGAAAAGAGATCATACTGAAGTTTCAGAGAAATAACACACTCCAGAAACTATTATTTTAAGAAATGGAATGTTGAGAATGTTCTTCTGAAAACACAAACTGATTCAACAGTAATGAAATACGAGCAGAAGACCATAAAGAAAGAGCAGGTTGGAACAAGAGTGAAGTAGATGCAATAAAAAGGGAAAAGCATTAGAAAAAAGGATTTTAATATAGCTCATAAATTTAAAAAAAAAAAAAAGCCAAATTAGAGAGAGTGCATACATCTTAAATACCCTACAGATAAGAAGAAATTCACACCTAGAATATACCCTCCGCTTTTTTTTATCAGAATGGTAAAGAGAAAAATCCTCCAAGTATCCAGACAGAATAATTAAGTTGCTTGTTGTTGTTGTTGGTATGTGCCATCGAGTCGGCCCCAACTCATAACGACCCCTTTCGTTTTCGAGGTGGTATCAGTATGGAAGTAGATTGCCCAACCTTCCTTCAGAGTTGCTTACAAATAAAAAAGAATACTCACATTTGCCTCAGATTTCACCTTTGGGAATTTTTGTTTTCACATATCTGTTTGTTATTTTTCTTCATTTGTGACTAATTAGTTAATGTTGTTGTTGTTGTTGTTTGCCGTTGAGTTGGCCCCGACTCATAGCGACCCCTCCTTGGGTTTCTGAGGCAATAGTATTTGTTATTTTCTAAATTTAAAGTTTTTTAAGTACATTACTCAAAACCAAACTCACTGATTCAGATCTGACCCATAGCAACCCCTCCTTGGGTTTCCAAGGCAGTATCACTATGGAAGTAGATTGCCCAATCTTCCTCCTGAGGAGTGGCTGGTGAGTTTGAACTACCAGCCTTGTGGTTAGCAGTCAAATGCCTTAGGCACTACACCACCAGAGCTTAAGTACAGTACTCAAGGAAAAAAAAAAAAAAATGTCCCACAGTGTAGGAGACCATGTCCAATAGTCCAACATAATAAAACTGTAATAACTGTGACTGCTTATTGTTGCTTACCCTATATTGGGTGTTAAGCTAAATGCCTTACATTTGTTCTTCTGTTTAATCATCATGACAACTGAAAAAGACAGATATTATTTTCACCATTTTATATATGAGGAAACAGGTTTGTTTCAAACCCAAGCTGCTGATCATTACACTACTCTGTCAACTTTTAAAATGGACTTAAATAAGTTTTTGTATTCCATTCTATTTTCAGATATTTGGGACATTTATCTCTTATAATCAGTGGTATGCTGGTAAATACCTGGTTAACAACTGGCTCTTTATGGGAGAGAAAAAAAAAAAAAAACAGTGTTTGCTGATTTCCTCAGTATATATATTCCCAGCATAGCTGATTTCAAACTACCACTGTGATGTCAATCAACTCATTGAATTCCTGAGCATTTCACAGTCAGCTCTCTAGAGCTGGTTCACCAGGCTCTAGCACACCACTCCTTATGGTGAAAGTAAGATAATAATGATTTCTCAATGCTTTCACCCAATATCCTCTAGGTCAGTGATTCTCAATCCTGCTGGATAGTGGAATTCTTAGGAGCTGATGGAAATTTGATGCCATGGCTCCACCTCCAAAGGTTCTGATTTAATTGATCTGAGGTGTATTTTTTTTTCTTTGAAGCTCCTCAGCTGGAATTGAAGAACACCACTCTTAGAATATATCCTACATCACCTATTCATTCATCAATTATCAAAGATGAGACAAGATAAGCCTTATCTATATCACTTTTATCTTTTTCAACTTTAAGTTTTATAGAATGAGTGTCCAACTGTGCTTGTTCATAAATTTTTATGAAAACTTAAATTCACTTAAATTTACTGAAGAAATGATGGCTAGGGACTTTTCACTTAACAGTGACTGGTATGTAATACACACCAAGTAAAGTATAGCTGTTATTGCAGTGGTGGTTGTCTGCATCTTACATTTAGAGATCTCTAACAACCTTTATGATTCTTTTATCTGTTGCATATTATACTTTGTACTTGATTGAGTCTCAAATGATTGATACAACTACGTTTGTCCATAGGACAAAACCTTCAGCATCTCTCCCCAAACAGACCCAAAATCAGGGATCTTCCTTTCACACGGAACAACCTAGCTCCCCTACCCGACCAGAAATGTAAGTATTATCGATCTTCCTCAGCTTCCTTTGTGAGCATTAACACAACTAGACACAACTGGACATTACTTCAGTTTACTTTCATTTTTCAAAGGAACATCAAGAGTCAAAACTTGTAAATTACAGCAAAAATAGACAAAATGTTTAAAGCTCCTTGCAACTTGGTGATGCTTTAAAAAATAAAAATATTTAAGACAGCTCCTAAATCATCCAGCCTACAATTGAGAGCAGAAGGAGTGCATGGATGTGTGGGTCCGTGTGTGCACACATGTGTGAGTGAATGTGTGTGTATTTTGTATAAAAGGGGTGGGATGGGCAGAGGTAGTAGATAGGAAGAAAAGGAAGGAAAGAAATTAGAATCCAGTAAATATTGTTTGTGTCATGAGGCATTGAGGAATTTTTGTGTTTGGACTACAAAAACAATAATAGAAGTTTTCTTTGCTATGTGTTACTTCATGTCTTCAAGAAAGTTCTTTAAAAACTCTTAAGGCTAGCTTCTTGGCATTGGTTTCCTTATTATGTGTCACTGTGTATTCATGATCCATGCATTCCTAAACAGAAAGGAATAATCAAGTAGATGGTGTTCATCACTATTAATTTTGGCATTATTGATTTATAACATTTTGAACAAAAAAAAAAAAAAAAACTATTACAATAAAAAGTACTTATACATTCTAACGGGCCAGTGATCTTTAAACTGGAGTGTGCCTACCTATTACTTGGAGTGCTTATTGAAAAAGAGATTCCTGAGCCTCACTCTCAGAGATTCTGAGTTTGCATATTCACATATACCCATGAAACTGGTTTTATTATTATTACCATTGTACAGCTGAGAAAATTGAGTTCAGAGAGGTTACATGACTTGTCCATCATCAGGTAGTAGCTAGGAGCCCCTGGGTGGTAAGAATGCTTAAGGTTGTCTACTGCTAACAGAAAGGTTGGAGGTTCAGGTCTACCCTGAGGTGCCTCAGAACAAAGGCCTGGCAATCCACTTCTGAAAAATCAGCCATTGAAAACTTTACGGAGCACAGTTCTAATCTAACACACATGGAGTGACCAAGAGTTGAAATCAAATTCACTACAATTGGTTTGGTTAACAAGCAGAGCCAGGATCAAAATGACTGATCAATACTGAGTTGTATGCCTCATGACACAAACAATATTTACCGGATTCTAATTTCTTTCCTTCCTTTTCTTCCTATCTGCTACCTCTGCCCATCCCACCCCTTTTATGAAAACTACACACATACATTCACTCACTCACACACACATGCACACATGCACCCACACGTCCATGCACTCCTTCTGCTCTCAATTGTAGGTTGGATTGTAGGTTGAATTGTAGGAGCTGTCTTAAATACTTTAGAAAAGTTTCTTATCCTCTCTGTGTTTGAGTTTCCTCACTTTGGCTGTTGGGATTAAATGAGATAGCATATGTAAAACACTTGACATACTGTTTGTCTCTTTCCCCTAGGTTATAGTTTGAAAGAGACCAACCGAGAGTTCTCAAACTCTTGATAAAAAAACAATGAAACATGAGGTCTTAGTACAACCCCATCTTTTGCAGAAACTAAGAGGTGGAGCAAAGTATGTCCAAAGTCACACAGAGTTAGCAGCAGAAACCAAGACCTCTTCTTCAATAGACTGCTTCCTCTGCCCTTTCTGAGTTGGGTAAAAAATATGAGCTCTGGATGGTGTGAGTTATACTTATCAAATGAAATCCAAGCCTGGACTTGTTTTTAAACAGAAACCTAATCACAAAGGCGTCTAGTTAAGGAAAGAGTCGTTCAGTCTTGAATTTTAGTGGTGCTTAGAGAAGTCAGAGAGAGAATGTTTTCTTTGGCAAAGGCCAGACACTTTTTCACAATTAGGTTTCAGAAAAGAAAGGAAAGATAAGACTTTTGATCAACTTTAGAGCTAGGAAAAGAAATGGGAGAGCACACAGTGCTTTCCCTAAAAGAAACCAGAGAGCCCTTTGAGGTTTGCAGTCTGTCAAAGCACAGTACAAATGTCTTGGGGCTTGTTTAGAGTCTGGTGCTAACGTGGCCATCAACTGCTACCCCACCCAAGGAACAAATCTGCCATGTACACATAGCCCAATCATGTTTTGATCAACCTTGACCTAGTCCTGTGTTTTTGCATATTTGACATTGCTGACTACGTGCAGAAAGCCTGAATAGATATGCGCACTAAGCTTTCTCCTGCAGTCCAGTTCTCACCAACACGGAATCTGAGATATGCCTCCACTTCTTAAGAAATAACACAGTTCTACCACCATTCCTTGAGACTCTGAGAGAAGTGCCTTTTGAAACACTCTCATTTTACTCTTTCTTTCCAGTTCTATCTGGAGAACCACTACGCACAAACCGAGTGCTTCCTGCTATCCGAAGCCAACAAGGACACAGTACAGCAGCTGAAGAGGGTGAAAAATCTGCTAGTGCCAACAATGATGAAAATTAACTGTGGGCTGTTGACTGCCAGAATACAGATTAGATAGATTTTCAACTCTCAAAGGGTGAGATCACTCCAGTTTGTCAGAACAAAGACTAATTTAATAAAGTGCATTCTATAAGCCATTCCCAGTTTTGTAACTCGAAATTCTTTGTCCCAAATAAAGACACTTCCCAAATAAGCCCTTGGGATTTTTGAGTGTGCATAAATGCTATATCTGTGGATTTCTGTGACCTCTACATGCCAAAATGAAAAGTCAGAATACATTGTTAGAAGGGAAACTTAGCTGTGTTTGGTTTGCTTTCTGGCATGCTTGCTGATTTCTTTTGCTGAAAGATTTTGTTTAAAAAATATATATATGCTTTGCTATTAAAAAAAAAATCTAGACTTGTTCCTCTCATTTCTTGTAATTGTACCTTTGACTGATGTGACTTAATTAAAATGAAAGTAATAAATTCCTTTAATCAGTCACAGTTTACGCCTTTAATTGTGCAATCTTCTGAAACATGTTTTTTAGCATTGTCAGTTCCTGGCTGTAGGCAAGTTAATGACTGCCCAATTGGCCTGACAACAGCTTGAGCCTTTTTGTTATTTGAATATTTCCAGCTATTGTTTTCAGATACGATTGTTTGCTCCAGTAGTGAGAAGATCGTGTGAGATGGAAAAGTCTACATTCATCCTGGCTTTACAGAGTTGAATAGTCATTTCTTAAATGTTTTCAAATACTCTACATATTTATTAATTCATTTTCCTATTTCAAAGTGATAGTCTCTTTCTACTCAAGACGTCCTAAATTTATGACTTCCAAACCTTTGGCTATAGTCTGTATAAGGTTCCAGGATTTGCAGCATAAGATGATGCCACTCCATGTTACTTCCAAGCCTCCATGTTATTTTGTAAATATCTCAAGTATACCCTTTATCACTCACCATTAGTATTTGTTTGGGTAGGTCAATCTCTACCATCAACTACATAAAAGTGTCCATTCTGAATTTATTTACTCAGCCTATACATCTATACCAGTTGCCATAGAGTTAGTTTTGACTCATGGCAACACCAAGTACCCAGAGTTGAACTACTCCATAGGCTTTTCCGAAACTAAGCTTTCGGAAGCAGATTATCAGGTCTTTCTTCCACAGAACCTCTAGCTGCACAAGGGTTAAGGTTCAGCTGCTAATGGAAAGGCTGGCAGTTTGAACCCACCCAGCAGGTCTGTGGGAGAAAGACCTGGTGATATGCTCCTGTAAAGGTCACAGAGAAAACCCCATGGGAAGTTCAGTTCTGTCACATGGGTTGCTCTAAGTCAAAACTCAACTTGATGGTACCTAAGAACAACAGCAACAACATATCTCTAAAGGCAAAGTATGGGGGGAGAAAAGAACAACCTCACTGCCATCAAGTCAATTCCGACTCATAGCAACCCCCTTTGGGCTTCCAAAGCAGTAAATCTCTACAGAAGTAGATTGCCTAGTCTTCCTTCCACAAAGTGTAGCTGCCATTAATATTTGTGGGAAGTGCGCACCAGCCCAGTGATTTGTGCTAAACCAGTTAGAGCTGTTGACAGTTAGGGTCTTGTCCCCCATTTTTCTTAGTTCATTTCAGTAATGACCTCGTTTAACACCGGTGTTATTTCTTCCAGGAATCTAGCCAGTACAAATAGATTTCTGTGACTCCAGTTCATTACACCTTTCAACTCTACCAGAGCACAGGTTGACACACAATATGATTTTATAAAACCCTACCAAGAGACTAATTAGACATATAGTGTCTCCCAGAAAGATAAGCATGACCATTAATTTTACTTTTGCCTCTATTCTTTGAAATTTAACAATGTTTGAAATCTAAGCAAGTGCATCCTGGCCTTTTAAAGGTGGCTTTTTAAAAACAGCACTTTGGAATCCCCCATAGGTTTAAATGAGGTGACTAAGAAAGAACAAATTTGGCATTCTCTGCTAGCCAAAAGCTAAATTAATAAAGGAACATGATAGCAGCTTTCACACGCAGTAGCTAGACTCTTTTATTGCCTTCTGAAATTAAAAGCTGAAGAGTTTCCAGTCAGCATGTTATACTACCACTATTGTCTACAGAGGGACAAAGATAATGTTGACATTATTATATGAAAAACAGGAAATAACTTGCTGACTGTTAAATTTCCATGAAATTTTTATTAATGGTGAATGATAAATCACTGTGCAATTTCTAATGGCCTACAGAGTAGGAGAAATATGAAAGAAAAATAAAGTCTGCCCTTAGTAGAACATGGTAGCATATAACTGATTGCCATTCAAGAGAGAAAGCTAATGCTTTGGTGAGATGGGTATAAGATGGAAAGGAAGAGTGGAGGGTGGAGGAGATGACAGCCATCTCCATGTGGGCAGTGAATCCAAGAACTGAACCCTTAAAAAAGGAACTGAGCTCAGATACAAACAGATTACCATGAGCAAAACCTTTGGTGCACTGAAGTTGAAACTTGGCCAAAAACATAGTAGATAGTGACATAAAAGAATGAAGGAAGGGAATTGTCTCCATGATTTCTGTTCATGTGACATATAGATGTACTACAAAAGAGCTTTTAAAGTGAAGCCAATTACACAGTGACTATTTATGTTTGTTGTTGTGTGCCATTGAGTTGATTTCGATGCATAGCACCCTATAAGGAAGAGAGAGTAGAATTGCTCGCAAGTGTTTCCTAGGCTGATTATTTTTTTTTTTTTAGTAATATTTTATTGTGTTTTTGGTGAAAGTTTACACAGTTAGGCAGGTTCCTATTGACAATTTCCATCCAAATTGAATAATGATCTTAGTTACCATTTTCTACATTGTGTCCACATTCTCTTTAATTGTGTCTGATTGTTCCATTTCCAGTATTCTAGTTTTCCTGCCCCCTTGTCTTCTCATCTTTGCTTTGGATAAAGTTGACCTTTTGGACTCCAACAATTTTTTGTTTTTTTAGTGGAACACCAGTCTAATGGGTAATATCCTTTATTTTGCGTGTCACTCAGTTTTTCTGTTAAAAGATGATCTCAGGGAGTAGTTTCAGTACAAGGTTTAAAGAGCATCTCAGGGCAATAGTCTTAGGGAGTCCTCTGGCCTCAGATGATCCAGTTAGTCTGGTTTTCTTTTAGGAATTTGACTTTTGGTCTGTAATTTCTCCCATTCTAACCAGGATCATCTATTGTGCCCCTGGTCAGATCAGTCAGTGGTGGTAGCCAGGCGCCATCTAGTTCTTATGGTCTCAGGGTAGTTGAGGCCTTGGATCATGTAGGCTATCACTAGCCTGTTATATTTTCAGAAACGTATCACCAGGTCTTTTCGTCAATGAAGACACTGGTGAGCTCAAACCGCCAACGTTTCAGTTAACAGCTGAACACAACCTTTGTGCCACTAGAGCTCCTTACTAACTACTTATATCCTGATAATAAAAAAAAAAAAAAAAAAAAGGAGGGGGGAAGCCTACTCACACCTTAGAACTCAAAGAATTGTTCTCTGCAATGAGCAAGCCAAGGCCCTTCCTCAGCTTCAGAAGTTGCGCACCTTTCCCTAACACAGAAATCAAGCTCATAGCCATCGAAAAGATTCCAATTATAGTGACCCTCTTTGGATTTCCGAGATGGTAAATCTTTATGGAAGTAGATTGTCCAGTTTTCCTTCCATGGGATGGCTGGTGCTCAAGATCTCCTAGGTGACAAATGCAACTTCTTTCCTTTATCAGGGCTCAAGAGTTAGATTTAATTCAATCCCACTTTTCAATGAGATGCAAGGCTACATGCATTATGCTCTTCATCGGGTTACAAAAGGAGCTCAACAGCCTAAAACTGGACCTTAGATGCATTACTAATAAACCAAATACTATTTGAAAGTATAACATATCAAGCTGCTGAGCTAGACAACAATAGAGTTTCTGAATGTACGTAAGAGAGTAACAGTAAGCAGAAGGTGGAGGTAATCAGCCTGTGTTTTACAGTTGGAGGGAGGCCACTAAAGGAGTTTTCTCAGATATAACAGCAAAACCAAGTAATCCTTTGAATTCAAGCAAGAAAAGCCAAAGATCAAGGCAATGTTCCCAGATGTCTAAGTTGCTCACTCTAGAATATCTATTCCAGTGTTCTCTGAACAAGTGACTTTGGGGGAGAAAAAACAAATTGGAAAGATATAAGGAATCAATCACCCCTTGAATCTCTAGGTCCTGAGAACTTGCCCATTAAATCTCCATTGCAGAGAGTTTAGCAAGCACGTCTTCTTCATAGCACCACCTCCCCTCCTGTAGCGTTCTATTAGAATAGGATGGACATCTGTAAACACTTTGTGTCATACTAATAAGTACTATATAAACACTATATTGTATATATACTATACTGTACAATACTAATAAAACTTTGTTAAATAAATAAAATTTTATACCCAAGAGTATGCTGGAAGCAGTTTTTACCAGCTTGCAAGAGCTAATTGTTAATTACAGTATTCAGGAATTTCATGAGCTGGTTGTTCAAAAGTTGGTTGCCTGAAATTGGCTATGGTGGGAATATTTTACACCATGGAAATCAGCAAACTACATATCAGGATTTTCTTTTTATGGGCGGGTGAGGGGAGCATACCATTGTACATAAATTTTGGGGGAAATCTTTCAGAATTCATGGCACTTCAATTTAACTAATATTTTTTAAAGATTACCTCCTCATTATACTGATGCTAGAGGATAGAACTCATGCCTATCTGAAAAGATAATCATGACATGTCTGTTGTTGTTGTTCTTAGATGTTATTGAGTCACCTCTGACTCACAGCGACCCTATGTACAACAGAAAGAAACACTGTCCAGTCCTGGGCCAGCCCCACAATTCCTGCTATGCCTGAGCCCATCGTTGCAGTCACTGTGTCAATCCATCTCATTGAGGGCCTTCCCCTTATTCATTGACCCTACACTTTACCAAGTACGATATCCTCCAGGGAATGGTCTCTTCTGACAACATGACCAAAATAAGTGAGACAAAATTTGGCCATTCTCACTTTCAAGGAGCATTCTGGCTGCACTTCTTCCAGGATAGATTTGTTAGTTCTTTTAGTAGTCCACGGTACTTTCAGCATTCTTCGCCAACACCACAACCCAAAAGCATCAATTCTTCTTCAGTTTTCCTTATTCATTGTCCAGCTCTCACACGCATATGAGGCAATTGAAAATA